TAAAACCGTGTTTTTTATTCCTTCTTGGATATGTCCATCTTTCTGGGCGTCTCTGTCTTTCTTCTGGTCGAAGCAGCCCTTTGCCTTAATAATCTGACTTTGGTTGTCTGGGGTGTAAAATATTTACTATCTTTAACCTTCAAGTAAAGTTTTTCTCTTCGGTCAGTCGCAGTTATAAAGTGCTTTATCATCGTTAGTCTTGTGACCAGTTGATAGACTTTGGTCTTTCTTCCCGCCCCCACCCCACCCCGTTTTCTGGTTTACTTGGCCTTCATATGCCGATAGCTCGGTAAACTTCAAAGACGCCGCCCAGGCCTCTTGTCCGCGTGTGTGAAACCCTTTTGAAAACTAACGACCAACCACTGCAGGCCAGTGCACACCAATGACTCATACGACGCCTGTCCTTGTGGCCCTATTGTAGAAAACCTGCGGAGACTAGACTCTGGAACACGACGAGTACAATAGCACTTTGTAGTGCGTCTTATTTATGTTGAAGGTCGGGCATACGTTTGTGGTTTGTGCTGTGCGTCAGGCCCGGCGGCGGGACCTCGGTAGTGCAGTGCGATTTTTAAGAAACGAAACTTCGTGGAGCTTCGAAGTGTGCAGTCACTATTCGTATTGTTCAAATACTGTCTGTGAGAATGCATCGACGACATTCGCCATCCAGTTCTATTATTAGCTCCACATCTCAATCGATATCATGTTCATCATGCATTGCTGTATTTATCTAAATAATTTCAGATACGATAATTATCCTGTAAGTTTTTGAAGGGATTAGAAAATGAGGTAAAAATCCATACTCTGTAAGAATTACCAGAGGGTACGCTTGCGAATGTAATTATGAACTCATTGAAGCGGCCTTTTCACGCTTCGAATAGTTGTGAGTAGCGCAAAAAATCGTGAGTATTGAATAATAAAGTCGAATGAACAGAGCTCAAGACCTCGGTGACGAAGAAGGCGTCCGGAATACTGAATGCGTCCGGGCACCTGGCCCTGTCAGGCAGCGGTCTCCTCCCCTGGCCTAACGGGCTCCAATTTGCATAATCTTCTCGTTGTCGTTCTGCGACTTTCCCCTCCCTCCGATTGTCTCACGTCTGTGTCGCCGCGGTAACCTTGCGCCGTCACGCCAACAGTGCACAGAAGACCCATTTGCTTTTCCACCACGTCTACGTTTTTTGTTGAGTTTTTTTCTGTCCAAAATGGTTTTTCTCTGTTCTCAATGCCTCCACCCTTTCTTTTTTAAATCCGTTTTCCCTTTCTACAATTTTAGTAGTCTTGCGGGTGGTTTTAGGTTTCGATCATTGCCACCCCTTTCTGTCGTTTCTTTTCTTTTTCTTCTTTGTCTCGTATTGGTGTTTATGAGTTTGTTCCTTGCCTTTCCCTCTCATTATCTCCCTCTCTACCC